ATTAGAAGGCTGAGATTTTGGAATCTTTGGGATTATTTTAAATATCTTTGTTCTTTCACAGTAGTAGCACAGTGTTTTGTACATAGTAAGTGCCCAGTAAATACTAATTTAAATAAATGACAGCAAGTAAAATTTTAACGAAATTGCAATCTCATTGAGTGGGAAACGTGGACAGAGGATATTGTAATGCCAACTCACAAACTGTGAGCAAAGGATAGAAATGAGCAAAAGACAGTGCATTATATATGTAATAATGTAATGTGTATGTGAGAAGATAGAACAATTATAGCCTGAAAATCTTACTGGATGAGAGAAGCACAATGACATATATGTGGAAGAAAATTCCATCCTTAATTACTTAAAGAGCAATAAGGTGCTATTCTATAAATCATTTGGTAAAGGGATTGATACCAGACCATAAAATATACCTTAAAAATAATGTAGCGATCTTTAGAATTGGTCCAGATAATAATAAAGGAGAGTTTTGTTTATTCTACTATAAATTAGAATACTTCATTGAGAGGAGTTTCTGATAAGCCACACTATCTTCCTAAAATGGCAAGTATGAAGTCTGTAAGGAAGAAAGATTGTCTAAGCTTGGTCCTTGGAACAAAATCATCAAATTATTTAAACAAATCTAATATACTGAAAGGATTTTTAGAATATATGTTAAAAATGTATTACAAGGGATTGTGATCTTTGATTCAAGCCAACAATGAAGCTAATAGCTGATTTTCCACATCTTCAAAAAATTAACTAATTATAGAAAGTATGTACATATATGGCACTTCACACAGAGATTTGCTAAACTGATCAGGCTTGGAGAAAACGAAGCCAAATTGACAAAACACGTATAAATGGTCTGTCATACATAAAGATAATCAGTCCTACCAGTTATTTAGCACCCATATGCCAAACACTGTACTATGAAATTTACAAACATCTCTTTTAATTTGATTCTTATTATAACTCTATGAGACAGATGTTGTTTCCATTTTACAGGTAAGGAAATTTGAGACTCTGAAACATATGAGAAATTCACTCATAGTCACTTAGGTAGATAACCCAGTCTTCAAATTCAAGGCTATCTAACATCTAAGATTATGCTTTTAATCACTGCCCTATTACTAATTAGAAAATTAAATAGGAATTGGAATAGGAAAATGGTGAGGGTTAATTCTTCTGAAATGGTGGCTATATGTGTATTAGTTTGCCAGGACTGCCATAACAAAGTACTACAGACCAGGTGGCTTAAACAACAGAAACTACTTTTTTCACAGTTCTGGAGGCTGGAAGTCCAAGAGCAAAGTGTCAGCAGGTTTGGCTTCTCTTTGGCTTGCATATGACTTCTTTCTTACTGTGTTCTCATACGGTCTTTCCTCTGTGTGTGCACATTTCTGGTGTTTCTGTGTGTCCAGAATTTCCTTTTCTTTTTTTTCTTAAAGTTTATTTATTTATTTATTGAGAGAGAGAGAGCATGCATGCAAGCAGGGGAGGAGCAGAGAGAAAGGGAGAGAGAGAATCCCAACCAGGCTCCGTACTGTCCAAGAGTGCAGCCCAATGCAGGGCTCCATCTCACAAACTGTGAGATCATGACCTGAGCTGAAACCAAGAGTCAGATGCTTAACTGACTGAGCCACCTAGGTGGCCCCCTAATTTCCTCTTCTTATAAAGACATTAGTCATATTGGATTAAGGCCAACCCCAGTGGCCTCATTTTAACTTAATCACCTCTTAAAGACCCTATTTCCAAACAAAGTCATATTCTGAGGACAATTCAGTCCATACCAATATGACAATCAAATTCAATATTCTTTAAAATGAGCATCTACTATGAGCAGGAACTGTATAAACAATTTTATATTTAGTTTCTCATTTAATTCTCACAACGATAACTCCAATTCATAGGTGAGAAAATGGAAGCAAAGGAAGATTAAATAATATGTCCAATATCATACATCAGGTAGGTTGTGAAATAGGAATTTGCACTTGTATAAATTGTATCCCAAATCTCTTTCCTCATGCTGTTAGTGTGAAACCTAAGAAATCTGATTATATAGATAATTGATATTATAAAGGAAATTATTACAAAATCTAAATATTAGGAAAAAAGAGACAGAACAGAAAAAAGAAGACTACCTGCCAAGGAGTTTGGATACTAGAAGTAAAAAGACATTTTGGAGTTGGGGGAGTAGGTACTAGAAGCAAACTTTGCGAATGGCATGCTAATAGGAAGTTGTTAGCTCACAATAAATCTCAGTATAATTTGAAATATATTAAGAGTCCCAGGGAGTGTCCCACTAAAATAGGAGAAAATCAGTTATTCGATAACTAATTAAACATAGCAAGGCAGTAGTAAATTGCTTGGAGAGGCTGTAGTCTCAGTGAATATCAGAACAGCTAGGAGGAGAATTTGAGTAGAGGGAGGGCAATGACGCAAGATTTACCAAAGGACCAGACTGGCAATTATTGACATTAGCAAGTGTGAACATTTCCAATCTGCTTGCTGTGAGGTGCTGGATCTTGAACTGAGCAATATCTTTTATCATACATTTCCAACCCCTTAAGCAAGTTATAGCACTATCCATTATTATTTGCTAGTCTAGGAATCAGAATTTCATTGAGAGGACACAGTTGAAAAACAGGTTCTACCTATATCCTTTCTCACAAAATTTTCAAGAGGATTAGGAATTATCTTTCCTTCCTCAATCTTCATCTGACTTTTTCTGGCCCTGTGACTACACATCCTTCAGGAAGCGTACTTGTTGATAGTTGTCAGCTTTCTGTCATATGGCAGGAAATAGCAACCAGCATTATAAACTCTTATTCAGCCTACTCCAAGTGCACAAAGGGAGAAACCACAGGGTTAATTAAATAATGTCATCGCTCTCATAACAAACAGGCAGAGGTCATTAGGATAGACCCAAAACATACAAAGTATGGCTCAGCATACAATCAATGACAGAATTGCAAACAGAACTCATGTCTTCTAGGGCAAAACTCAAATATTTGCTATTAAACATGTAATTAAAATCAGCTCTTTGTTCCTCTTTTAAAATAGATGTTCACATATCTATCTATCACATTAGGATGTGTAATAGAAAGGGATTTAGTGCTGAGACAGAACTGGTTTTCCTAAGTGGGGCACTAACATGCCCTTTCAGCCTCTAAGCGTCAATTTTTCCTGTATATACATATAGACTATTTTAAGGAAAAATGAGATTATGTTTGTAAAAGTGATTTACGGAATGCAAACCACTCTACAAATACATTGTTATTATTCTTTTGCTTTAGTGAAACTTTATAGGAATTGAGTTGAATTTATTTTTCCCATTATTATTAATATAAAAGTCCTTTGTGTCTGTGGATTGATTGTTGCTGAAATTGAAAGAGAGGAAGAGGGTTTGGACTAAATGAACTTTACGAATCTTTCAAACCCAAAATTTTGTCTCTGTATGATTTATTTAGTCAAGGTTCACTGCAATCTTTTCCTAAATACTACGACAGCTGATTGAAAAAATAATTAAAAGAATACTTATGTGGGTAGTGACCAACAGAGATGAACTGCAGCCTACTGCAGATACAGAAATCCTCAAAAGTATCTGTCTACAAATTAGAGATTCCTGGAGATCACCTTTTTTATTACTATTTCTATTTATATACACTGCACATGTAAAATAAAGTACTAATTATATATACACTGATTATAAAAATAAGGTGTGCTTATTATAAAAACTTAAGAAAACTTAAACATTTATTTCTAGTCATTTTCAGAACTAAACATTTTTATTTTTTTTTTATTTTTTTTTTATTTATATATGAAATTTATTGTCAAATTGGTTTCCATACAACACCCAGTGCTCATCCCAAAAGGTGCCCTCCTCAA